CTAATATTTAATTAAATAAATGATGATACTGTTGGAATTACCGTTTGAAATTTTTCATTTATGATGAAAATTCAACTGGCTGCTATATTTTTATCTGATCGTTCACTTAAGAATACCTATATATTATTGTTTTATACTTCTAATATTTAATTAAATAAATGATGATACTGTTGGAATTACCGTTTGAAATTTTTCATTTATGATGAAAATTCAACTGGCTGCTATATTTGTATCTGATCGTTCACTTAAGAATACCTGTGTTATTGTTTGAATTACCGTTTTAAATTTTCATTGATAATGAAACCTGTTAACTTTCAACTCTCAAACTTTCAATTAGTTATAATCTTTATCTAATTCTAAAAATATTAGTATTCTCTTTTAACACTTAAATATAATATACAAATATTTTTAATTTCATTTTAAATATAACAGAATTTGATTATATTATGACTAAAGGTTTACCAAACCTCTTATTTTTTTTTGATAAGTTATTCTTTTTTCTCGTACATTTGGTGTATTTAATGATCATAACCAAGACGTGTAACAAAAAAAACAGTATATACTTTATTTACTTATGTTTTTGAACATTTTGATTTTTAAAGTACTTATTGACATATGTTTTAGAATATTATTGATAGTAGTCAATTTTCAGTTCTTCAAATCATTAAAATTGATATGTTTTAAAATAACCACATTGCATGTGTATTTTGGACGGATCAAATTTAATTTCCAAAAATCGACTTATAAATGATCTATACAGTTTAAATCCATACATACTTTAAAGTATTTTAATAAGACATTTGTTTGTATCTAATTTTCACTGCTGATCAATCCAAAACATCAAATTTATTTTAAAAACTACCATATTTCTTCTCATTTAATGTGTATCATTAGTTTAGTAGAAAAATTAATGTAATCATTAAAAGTAAAAAATTATAATTTTAAAAATGTATAAAACTGTTACCAACCCCTTAAAATCATATTTATATTAGTTATTGACCATATTTTTAGTATTCATTATTTCACAATTTTTTGCTTGTCTCATTTGTTAGATCCATTTTATTTTTATATTATACTTACTTTTATTATTATTATTAGTTTTATTGATTTTATTGTTAACTTATTTTACAGATAATTGTAGAACAATATTCACATCACCATGTTAAACGCAGCTAAATTTGTTGCACGTCGAGTTGCAGAGCAGTCACTTTTTGTTAAACAAGATGTAATGTTCAAAGCTAGTCAATGTCTTGGCTCATTCCAAATTCGTCAAACATCTTCTAAAGGTGTACAAGGTCATGTTATTGGTATAGATCTTGGTACAACCAATTCTTGTGTTGCTGTCATGGAAGGAAAAACTCCCAGAGTAATTGAAAATTCTGAAGGTTCAAGAACTACACCTTCAGTTGTTGCCTTCACCAAGGAAGGTGAAAGGTTAGCTGGTACTCCCGCTAAAAGACAAGCTGTAACCAATACTCAAAATACTTTTTATGCTACCAAAAGACTTATTGGTCGTCGTTTTGATGACCCTGAAATACAAAAGGATATGAAAAACTTGACCTATAAAATTGTAAAAGCTACTAATGGAGATGCTTGGGTGCAAGGTACTGATGGAAAAATGTACTCGCCTAGTCAAATAGGCGCTTTTGTATTGATTAAAATGAAGGAAACAGCTGATTCATTTTTGGGAACAAATGTGAAAAATGCTGTTATCACTGTTCCAGCCTATTTTAATGATTCACAGAGACAAGCCACCAAGGATGCTGGTCAAATTGCTGGACTAAATGTCTTGCGTGTTATAAATGAACCTACTGCTGCTGCATTAGCATATGGTATGGAGAAAGACAGTGATAAACTTATAGCAGTTTATGATTTGGGTGGTGGTACTTTTGATGTTTCCATTTTAGAAATTCAAAAAGGTGTATTCGAAGTAAAATCTACTAATGGAGATACATTACTGGGCGGAGAAGACTTTGATAATTTATTAGTTAATTATTTTGTTTCTGAATTTAAGAAAGAACAAGGAGTTGATTTAAATAAAGATATTATGGCCATGCAACGCGTTAAGGAAGCCGCTGAAAAGGCTAAAGTTGAACTATCATCTTCTCTACAAACTGATGTTAATTTACCATACATAACTGTTGATAGTTCTGGTCCAAAGCATTTAAATTTAAAATTGACTAGAGCCAAATTTGAAGGATTAGTTGGCGATTTAATTAAAAGAACAATTGGACCGTGTCAAAAAGCTGTTAAAGATGCTGAAGTAAAACTTTCTGATATTTCTGATGTATTATTAGTTGGAGGAATGACTCGCATGCCTAAAGTACAGTCATTAGTTCAAGAAGTATTTGGAAAACAACCCAGTAAAGCAGTAAACCCAGATGAAGCTGTTGCTGTCGGTGCTGCAGTTCAGGGGGGAGTGCTATCGGGCAGTGTAACTGATGTACTATTACTTGATGTTACTCCATTATCTCTGGGTATTGAAACAATGGGAGGTGTATTTACTAGCCTTATTTCTCGTAATACAACCATTCCAACAAAAAAAAGTCAAGTTTTTTCTACAGCTGCTGATTCTCAAACTCAGGTAGAAATTAAAGTTTTTCAGGGAGAAAGAGCAATTGCCGCTGACAATAAACTCCTTGGTCAATTTTCATTAGTTGGAATTCCTCCAGCACCAAGAGGTGTTCCACAAATAGAAGTCACATTTGATATAGATGCTAATGGTATAGTTCATGTATCAGCACGTGACAAAGGAACTGGTCGTGAACAACAAATATCAATACAATCGTCTGGAGGATTAAGTAAAGATGAAATTGAAAACATGGTAAAGAATGCTGAACAATATGCCCAACAAGATCAAGTTAAAAAAGAACGCGTTGAAGCTTTAAACCAAGCAGATTCCATTGTTAATGATACTGAAAGCAAATTAACAGAATATCAAGCTAATATACCCGAAGAGGATGCCACCAATATTCGTGAATTAATTAAAGAAGTGAGGGATAAAATAGCCCAAGCGCAAGCCGGTGAACAAGATCCTGAAGAATTAAAAGCTAGTACACAAAAATTACAGCAAGCATCATTGAAGATGTTTGAAGTTGCATATAAGAAAATGGCTGCTAAACGTGAACAAGAAAATAGCGGTAATAAAAGTAATGAAACTAGTGCCAATGAAGAAGATGGTCATACTAAAAAAGAACAATAAAATAGTTATCCTATAAGGTAGTTATCTCTAAATTATGTGTAGTGTCTTTTATTATTCTGTACATAATGTATATAGTATTTATAATTTAAATATAAAAATATTATGTTAATATGATATATCAAATTTGCATGGACATCAGTGTTCCTATTAGTATTATCCCTAGCCAGCCTTAAAAATATCTCGTGTTTTATGTCATTCTAATGAAAAACAATAAATATAAAACTACTTTTAATTTATAGTTAATAAATAATGGCTGGGTATATAATATGGTTCATTTTTCTCAGTAAACCATACTCATGATAATTGTAAACCTGGCACTAAAGATATTAAATTATGTGTAACAAATATACTGTTGGCCATGAAAGACATTTGGTATAAGTATACCTTATTACCTATTATTAGTGTACTAAACTTATTAAGTACCTAAGAGAAGCTGGTACTAACTAACTACCTAGTTATCTAAGGTTATTTTTTTATTTTCAGAAACTTGGTGAATAATTGCTGTATCTAAATGACTATAAAATAATTGTATACAAAACACTCTGTGGTAAACTGGTAATCTTGAAATCTGACTTAATTCTCCTAATAAATTCAATCAAATTAAATTTGTAGTCACTAATCTAATGTTTGTTATTCTTTTTTATGTAATTTATTAAATATATATAGTATATAATAAATGTAGATTTAATTTTTATATTCTTTAAAATTAATGTTATAAACTAAAACGTATACAAAATTTAAAAAAAAATATTTTTTTCTAGTTATAAAATAATATGTTAGAATCAAATCTATAAATTAGCACATAGACTATGCATTAGTTAAATTATTATAATTATAAAAATCATGTTTAATTATTTCTTCTTGAAACAGTTACTTCAATGGATTTAGTTTTAATAACTATTCTCAAATTAATAATAAAGATATGTTAGGGTATGATATGGTAGCGTTTGATTTATTTAGATAAGAATGTTGATTTTAGTATATACACATAGGCTGTGTTGTATAGAATTGTGGTAACGGTTATACTAATGCCAGTAATGTTTGAGTGTCTTGTCTTAGCGTAGACTGACCATATGTGGGTTTCACTGCCTCCCTATCTACATTTTAACAAGGAATACCAGTATTGCCAGCCAAAAATTGTTTTTTAATAATTGTCATATAGCTTGATTTATATATAAATTAATGGAATGGAAATAAATTTAAATGCTTTTTAATCAAAGTTATACATTTACCTGTTTCAAGAATTATACAAATGAAAAGTATTGTATGAAATTAACAATATTTTTAAGAGCTATCAAAATAAAAGACAAGTTTGACAGAAAAATAATATAGGCATATAAATAATTAACATAACTTATATATATAATGTTTTATGATTAAATAATAGTGTAAAACACAGCATTTATATATATATATCAATAATAATAAAAAAAAAAATTGCAATGTCTACATTGATATTACAAATTACTAATTCATACCTATTCTATGGTCAATAGATTAAATCATTTCAAATAAAAATTTTTTTTAATAAATTGTTAATATTATTATTTTTAGTAACATTTAAATAAATATTTGTAATTGTTTCTAAAAATTACAATTTTAGAAGTTAATTTAATATGATATAGAAATTATTATTAGACATTACATTGAGAAATGTATTAATTATTCATTAAAAAAAATATAATGAAAAAGTACATTCGTATCAAAGTTTTTTTTACATTTAGATTACCAAACTAATACAGTACCACTTATTGATGTTTATTGGAAACCAAATAGTTTTTAACTATTGAAATGTTTATATCCCAAATAATGCACGCCATAACCTTTCAATATTGTAGGTAGTTTATCTGAAATTAAATAAATTCTTATTTTTTTGTCTACTGTATACACTTGTCAATTAAATATGAATTATGTTATATTATTTATGTTAAATATAAGATACCAGGATATCTCATTGCTGATTTTATTTTTTTCTCGTATTTTTTAACAATAGACTTCAATGAATCTTCCAAAGTATTCACTGATTCAATATTAACAGTCCACTGAACAGATTCTTTGCCCAAAAGTGAAGATGAATAGTTAAAATATTCATTACTGGGACAATTCAATGTTGAAAGAATACTGTTAATCCATGATTTGTTAAAATAAAATGGGAACCAATGTCTACAAATAATAACTATATACATATATATATATATATATACAATTATATATTAAAAATAAAGATAAGTGTTAAACAAATATACCTGCAAAATGTATGTATATCATGACAAGTTACATATTCTTTTGGAAAGTTCTTTACAGTTAAATATATAAGATGTACCCAATCAAATGGAGGACAAACCTAAAATAATTAAATAATTAGTTATATATATTTAATACCTATCATGTGTATAAATTTAGACAATGTGGTCTTTGCACAAATAAACAACATTTCAGTGAAATATAATAATTTCTTAAAATTACTGGCTTTGTAATTCAATGTTATGCAAAATGGAAAATTGTAGTTTAATACATAGTACTAATTATAGCATAGAATGTGTTTTTATAGGAATTTTAAAATTATAAATATTGTACATGATAAGTGTATGTTTAAAGATAACCAAAACATGGACTTCAAAAAACAATTGCATTTTTATTTAATAAAGCCAATTTTAAAACATTTTTTTGAAATTCTGTCAGATTAAAATGTTTTAAAACTTAACAAGATATTCTATTTATACCTTATATGAATTTGCAGAGTCTTTTTGAAATTCCATTATTAATAATTGACTAATAGACTTCTCTTCAACGTCATCTTCTTCTTCACTTGATAAATTATGATCCTTTAGCCAATCTGGTAGAGGATCACATTTGTTTTTGTAACTTTTTTTAATTACATTTTGTCTTTTAACTGTTGAATTTGTTAGAATGCAATACTTGCTCAAATCCAAAAAGTAATTATGTTCATTTAAAACATTATATCTATCGATTATGACATTTTTGAGTGTTTTTCTTAATATTAGTTTTGGTTTTTCAGAAATTTTAGTCATTTTGAAAGTCTGAAAATAATTCCTAATTTACAATAATTTATTTATTATATATTAGTATAAAAACATTAATCGAATAAGTAATAACAATAATCATACCTGTTAATTAAAACAAGACAATTCTTAGTGAAAGTAGCAAGGAATTATTTTTAGATTATAAATAGGCACTTTATTATATATAATAAAACATAAATACATTTTATTTCCATTCAAATAAATGCATAGATTTATTAATTTCTTATATCAATAAACACAATCTGAAAAAAAAAACTGGATCAAAATAAATGATTTTAATAAATATTGTTTTGACAAATTTGTTTATAAACATAATAGTCTAAAGATACCTGGGGTGATTAATGGTACAGTAGATAATAATAAAAAAATTTTAATGTTAACATTACTGTATTATTATTGCAAAGGTCTACATATAATCATAAATATGAATATAAACTACCTACAATTAAGTTTAAAAATAAAAATGTTTAATTTAAAATAATTACTGTAATTGATTAAACACATAGTTAAAGAACAAATACAATGTGGAATATTTTTTAAAATGAGTATTTTTAAAAAAAAGTATGTATTTGATAAAATTGTCTTATTTTTTTTATTTTTGGAAGTTATATATAAAAAAAAAAAAACTGAAGAACGTGAAGTGACAATAAGCACCATAACCCATAAAGTAATTTTCTGGGGAGTAACAAACTAGAATCAGGTTTCCAATTAGTTTTTTAATGTACTAATGTATGGAAAAAAGAACATAAAATCTGTATAAAATATTATGATAAGTTATGAGCAAAGCTCATATGGGCAAAGCAATAATCTATACTGTGCATCAAATGTTCAAGAAATACCATTTTCTGTGTGTTTTTATATTGTGTCGTAACTTCGTAAGCGATCCACAAAAGAAAAACATACATCTAATTTATATAAATAATTATTAAAATAAACTTTATTAAATAGACTTTAATTATTCTTAATTAGCATTAGTTTTTAGTAGTTTAGTTTTAAATATTCAGAAAAGTAGCTAGGGATCGATCAGACCAAGAACGTGTCAAAAAAGAACTCAAAAGTTAAAATGTGAATACCTACACCTAAATTAATAGATAAAGTATTGAATGAATCATATTTATCGATATGCAGGTTACTGTTCAATCATTGGGCGTGTTGCCTAAATAGACAAGTAAGTATCCACGGTCAAATTATCGTTTTAGCCTCGGTCAGCATAAATTATAGCTTGCATTATATTAACAGCCGAAACTTTCTAGCTACCAAAAATTATATACCGAATGCATACCAAAAATTTGAAAAATGTTGGATTAATTCATCTTTAAGGTTCGGGACTTGTTGCAATAAAAATGATCGGAATATGAAGTCAAAATTATCAAAATATGCAGGTATTCTTTAACTATATTTTTGACTCATAAAACATATAATAATTATAAGAATAAAATCTCAAAAATAGATGGATAATAAAAATCGTCGATAACAAGGTTGATTAAGTAAAATCGATAAGGATAAAGAGACACACGCCTACGAGTCTAGGACCTATCTACCTAAGGAATTTAATCAAAAATAAATATTTTTGTATGTTATCCAATTACCATTTACCATTTACCCGATAATTTTAGTAATATACAAATTAAAAACCATGCGAAAATTACACAAACCTAGTAAAACTTGCTCAATATGTAATTTTCGTAAAATACGAGAAAATACAGGGAAATATGCTAATTCAAACGTTATATTTAAATGCGGCATTTCATAAAACAAATTCATAGCTTATCTAGAATAATCTACGACTTCTATTCATCATAAAAAAATAATTCTAATCGCATTTTTTTTTTTAACGATATGCGCTTTACTTTACATGACCACAAATCAACAAATTTTAAATTGTATTTATTTGAAAAGATATTGAGTATGATATTCATCTTATAAAAAATTACACTAAATTTAATCGCAGAATAGATGAAATATAAGATGTCAAATATGGTATTAACATTTTAAATGAAATCAGATTTGAAGAAACACCCTTTCAAATATTTACTTTTCAAACTTTTGCTGGCTTTCCAGGTTTACAGATGATATTATAAGAATTATCAGAAGCCATCTTGGGGGGGTGGCAGAGTGTGAACTCACACTTTCAATCCATAACTGGCCTAATTAAAATTTATATATTAAGCTGTTTTATAACTAAAATTGTATTAATAAATTATTTAAATTTGTATAAGTAGTAATAAGTAGGTATGGTTAAAAAACTAATATAAAACTGGATGATTAAAACTTAAAACTTAAATAAATTGTATATTAGTAGTAAAGGATATAATATTATTTACTAGCTGTATTATCCAACTTTCCTAAGTCCGATCAATTTGTTTTCCTCATTTGAATACATAAAATGTTTACATCTTATAACTTAATCCCATGATTGACGTGTAGGTACATTATTCAATTATTGTTAGTGGTTAGCAAAAAACATTATTAATCATAAAAATAAAGTTATTGTAGACTGCAATCAAATTTTCTACCAGAAATCTTGTTCTGATTTATTAAGTAAGACTTTCTTTTCTGAAAGGAATTTTTATCTATTTATTACTTTAAAGAGGTTATCTTTATGTATTCTTAACGGCGTTACATAATAATTGTGAAAAAAAAAACGTCAGAGTTTAACGTTCTAATGTTAAGTTAAGACGGGCATACTTAGCACGTGGGTGCAGCCTCTTTTATAGGTGGGAAGTTGGGAAGCCAAGATATAGACAGGAATTTTATGTATATCTGTAAACAACGATAAACCATCGCTAACAAAAAATACGATTTTGAAAAAATGTACGTACACGTATCTATAAAAGAAATTTCGATCCGAATCGTATTTCTTTAACATTGGTTTATCGTTGTGTACAGATGTAAATTAAATTCCTCTCTATATCCTACCTTCCCAACTTTACATCGTAACCTTTGAATATTGACTGTGTGGCAATCTATTCAATTAAATTTGTTTGTATAAAACCACGACAGATACCATATATATTATGTATAAATGTTGTGTATTATCTACAGAAAATAAGGACGTAATGACGTAGAGGAGCCAAGGGTGTCCTATATTTGCAAGCCGATGGTTATTTTGGGGACGCATAAAGCACAAGAACTAATAATCGGTAAAATAATAACTACCATTAGTTGTTTTTTTTTTTTTTACTAATTCATAAACGTTTACACTTTGCACTTTTTCCTCTGTTATTTAACCGACATGGTTTTGCACAACAAATCGAGGTTTCTATTCAATTAAAAGTCCAACAACAGTTCGAACTTGACAAGTGAAGTAAGCCGCATGTTAGACTAGGAACTATTGGTCTTTCCATGCAAATAACATTTCCGAACATTTTCTGGTTCAAACTGCCCCCCCCCTATTTTGTATTAATGTACGCCAACCATAAATAACATTTAATATTAAAGATATGGATCAGTATTCAATAATATTTATAGTATGGTGAACTATATTTTAATAGAACCAACGATAAAAAAACTTACATTACCTCGCCTATCCTAGACTAGCTCTGCACCTTATGTCTAATACTCGTAGAGTGCGGCCTACAATGGATCATACATGAGGCCATAATTAAATATGTAGGTAAATTCCCATTATATAATCTTTTGAAAAAAAAAATCTTTATCATAAGGTGCCTTGCAGCACTTAACTCGAAGATTAAAAGCCTAATAACACAACGACGCCACTATAGTATGTATCTCTGTTGCTAACTTAACTCTGCTGCAGGAACATTTATCCAATTCTTTTTTTTTTTTTTGGGAGTGAGTGGGAGTCCACTGACCAGTACCCTTGGACCCACTCTCCCTCCTCCGAAAACTCGTCACTGAATTTAACACAACTTAAGATATTAAATAATATGGACAGGCTATGGAATCAATATTCGAAATCGAATTGTAATACGAAAATTTCGAAGTAGAAGAGGAGTAAAATCCATAGCACCATCTGTTAGAAAACAATAACTATCATAACCAATGTATAATGTGCTAACGGCGTTCATGAGTCAAATAAAATTGATTGAATGGCTAGCAATACTTGGAAATTTAAAATTTGTAAGTTTAAAATGTTCTGATTTTCCAAGTTTTGACAGACAAAATTATGATAGGTTAGGTTAGTAATACCAACACCGATTACGATTTTATAAACAGTGTAACCAATTTTTTTTTAAATTAACATTAATTAATGTTGATATTGTACTTAAATTAATGATAACGCAAACAATTATTTAAAATTATTATAATATATATGCATATAATACTCTTAAGTATTATTAAATAATATTCAATTTTAGTTTTAAAAAAAAAAAAAACATAAAACCACTTTTATAATTATAATCAGATATTACACATAACTTTGTGTATTTTAACAAATACGTATAGTAAGTTACATTCAAATGTTATTTGTTTTTTTAATAAATTTATTAAAAATATAAAAGAAACAGTTAATAGTAGTATGCAAATTATTAGTCAAATATTTAAAACTTAAAATATTATCATCATTAATGAAATATTTAAAACAGTAATAACAGATAATAATTTCCTAAAACCACATAATTAAAAAATAATATTATAAAATATAGCTGTTATTGAAATAAGATCTTACCCATTATCAGTCCAATAAGAATTGACCATTTTTGTTTTAATTGGTTAACACTATATATACAATACAATACAAAATATATACAATATACTATGATTACTATGCCACTAATTCATGCAGAAATAGGTTGTTTAGTTTATCATATAAAAATATTCACATTAATTGAATGAGTTATTGTTCACATTATTCATACTACAATAATGATTTAACATTCTTAATTCATATCAATATTGATAAATGATAAGGGCATTAAGCAATTTCAGCAATACCAACTTCGAAAAACAAATCCACTATGTCCAAAAAAGATACTGTTCCAAAAAAAATATAAAATCTTTGTTCGTAAAATCAAATCGAGTCG